CAGGGCAAGTGATTAGAATCATTAGACAATTGTTGGCGCACAGCTTCTATTTCTTGCTGCTGACACTCTGGAATAGGCAGAAAACTACTCATTTCAGTACCCTCATTATAAACAATGTCATCTTCATTTTGAGGACCTAAGTCAGGTTCACATGTGGCATCCAAATCTATATTCTCTGTTTCAACCGAGAGAAGACCATGTGGAACACCATGTTCTGGTAAAGAATTTAAAGAATTTTGATTGATGGTTATGTCCTTGTAGTGTGAGTTATTATTAACAAGCCATTGTAGTGCATCAGCTACATTTTGCCTTCGCACTGTCACATCTTTAAAACTGTTCTCTTTACCTTTCATCTTAACAACAATAACAGATAGATCTTTTGGGTATCTAGGCAGAGAATGTGCTAGTTCAGCTATATCCTGAGGCAAATTGATACAGTGGCCTGAATAGCCCCTTTGTCCACCAGGTTTTATGTAAACTCGCATAACAGGAAGTGCACGTGCAATAAGCATTTCTTCTACTTGGGTTAACCCCTGCAGTTGTAAAGGTACTAATGATGGCACCATGTCATTTTCCTTAGAAAACTTTTTTTGGTTGTTGTTTATCTCGTATGCACCTCTGACACTGGTAGTGATCAACCTTCCTTGGACTGGATTTCAATGGCCATGCTTCAAAACAGACAGTGCATTGGCAAACTGAATACTGATTGGACTTATGAAAATCGTTCATGTTATTTTGTGCATGTTTTTGTTCGTGAACTGGACCAGCAGAGCTCTCTTTTTGTCCTGCAGAAATTGTTTGAGACCTTTTATAACTGGCTCTCCTATTTGCAAGTCTCTCTTTTCGCTTTTCAACAGTTTCTTCAGACGTTCTTTTTCTATAAGAGTCTTTGTAACTTTTTAGTCTCTCTTTTTTGCTTTTCAACAGTTTCTTCAGACACTCTTTTTCTATAAGTGTCTCTCTTATTTTTAAGTCTCTCTTTTCGCTTTTCAGCAGTTTCTTCAGACATTGTTTTTCTATAAGTGCCTCTCTTATCTTCAAGTCTGCTTGCCCTTTCATTAGCTGTTTCTGTATATTTGACTCTTTTCATGTAATTTCTGTGCTTAAGAAGTCTACCATGTCTGTTTTCATTGGTTTCTGATAATTTTCTCTTTATGCATGTGAGTTTGTTTTTATATCTACTGTTTTTGTCAGTCAATGTTGAAACATAATGCAACTCGTTAATATATCCAATAAATATTGTCTTTCGTCCATCCTGATCAGCAACAGGAGTTAAGATTGTACTTTCAGGTGAATTTATATTAGACTGTGTGATATGAATGACACAGTTGTATGCATTGGCCACAGCTTGCATTATGATGTTATCACACCATGTGCCTTGTTTTGACATTTGTTGAATATAGTTATTCCAGTGATCATTAGAAATGCTTTCAATATACAATTCTGGGTAACTCTGTAAATGGCCAATTTCAGCCATACGAATTTCAAGATGCAAGTCAGCAGTCCTATACAGTTGGTGCGAAACTGATTTAAAGAAACAATCCCCAAATCCACCTACATCATGTGGTATAAGTCCTATGAGACGAAGCCTTTCAGTTAAACAATCCCATGGTAAATCATGACTAACAGCATTCTCAGGAGACATACCTCCATTTAATTTTGAATTATCATTATGAGTTTGAGGAAAGCTTTTTCCACCAGAATTCATTAAATCTGCCACACGGATATGTGTTTGTCTACAGTTACATGTAGAATAGTTATCTGTTGCTGTAAATTTTCTTTTCTGTATGTTCATGTAAAAAACAAATTTACTATAATAATGATCATTGGTATACCAGAATTTCCAGGTGTTGTAATTTCTACATAAATTAGTGATAAAAGAACTGTCTGGAAGATGTTGTCTTACAAAAGACTTGATTCTATTCCTAGACTTCGTATTACTTAGTGCCTTTAGAATTATTTTAACAGGAACGCGAGATGGTTCCCTGTCCCTTTTCCTCTGACAATTCACTCTTTTCTTACGAACTTCAACATTTTCAGAAATAGTTACACTATGATTTTCAATTTTCTCAGAAGAATAACTTGTCAAAGCCTTTAAATCATGATCTTGTGAACTACAATCACCACTTATCAGCCCGGTAACCATTTGACTTTTGTCACTTTTCATTTGGCGCAATGGCCATCGAGCAGAATGACTCGGTTTATTTGCTTTGTGACCACAACGGGTCATTTGGCGCAATGGCCACCGAGTACAATGACTCGGTTTGTTTGGTTTGCATTTGTGACCGCTATGGGTCAAAGCACAATGGCTTGGTAGATTTGCTTTGAGACAACTTTGTGTCAGAGTTATCGGTTGATTTGCTTTGTTGTTCGGCAAATTCGAGGACATCAATTCAAAGCAGGAGAGCAGCGAAGGTCTTCGGTTTGTTGTAGTTCGGACAACGCCGACATCGGGCTTTCTACATGCTCTTGGAGTACTAAAAAGTTTCCTGGTAAGGCTTTGACAAGTTGAAGCGATGAACTTTTTAAGAAACATCGCATGAAGTTTGAGAAAAATAAATGAACTTACCGAATAATCCAAAGATATCCACGGAGGCGACACGGACGCACGAGGAGCTTGCACTCGCACGAGGTATAGTTGCGTGCGCACTCGCACGAGGTATAGTTGCTTGCGCATAAAAATAGTTGTGTGCGCATGTCCACCAGGTGAGCCCGCAATTTCTTTGGCCGGCTATTGGGCTTAAAATTCGTGCGCGCGCTTAATAATTATTCAAAATGGCGCAGATTTTGAACATCGCCCGTCCAAGTAACCAAAAATCTCGAATCTTCACGCCTGGCATGCACAGGTATCCCATCGACCACAGGATCCCCAAAGATTACGAAGCGTTCTCCTAACGTCGAACGCAATGAGCGGGGAATGCGGTCTCATTTAAGCCTTTCCAGTTGTAGTTACAAGTTCTGATATTTACAAGGAGTGTAACTATGTTCGGCTCTGCGGCGATCTCAACGCTGTGCCAGTTTGTGACAACGATAGAAGACATTATCCTAGCAAGGTTATATCATTCAGGAGTTTCAAGAACCTAAATGAGGACGAACTGTTGAAGGACTTAGGCGTTGCCCCCTGGCACGTAGGGGATATTTTTGCCTCGGTTGACGATCGATACTTCTACTGGAGTAAGTTAGTCAATGATGTTCTAGATAATCATGCACCCCAGAAAAAATTGACGTCAGGTCGAGGGACGTGGAATACATAACTCCGGAATGGAAAACAGCAATTCGAATGAAAAGAAAGTACACAGAGAAGTTTGCTAAGGACTCATCACAGGAGAATCTCATAAATAAGAACGAGTTGAGAATTACAGCCACTAAGCTCACAAGACGGGCAATTAAAGAGTACTGGAAAACTAAGACGGACTCAGTCCGGCAGCAATCCTAGGGATTTCTTTAAGGTGTTTAAGCCTTTTCTGGACTCTAAGGCACGGGGAACTGACAACAACGTTATTAACCTAGATTTTAACGATAGTATTATTCAAGATCAAACTAAAGTTGCAAACTGTCTCGTAGATTATTTCACCACGGTAGCCAATAATATTGGTGACCCACACATGTTATCACTAACGGAAGAAGAACTGAAAGATTATAAAAGCGTACAAAACGTACGCAAAGTGGCCACAACAAATGGCGTGCAGTTTAAATTTCGCAACTTTAACGTGAAAGAAGTTACTAGGGCTCTGGAAACCTTAAATCCAAATAAAAAACATGGGTCTCCGATTACTGGAAAATCATTCGTTGAAGGGGACATGCTCCGGGCCGACTTCACAGAAAAGACACACGAAAATCGAGATGACTGATACTTAGTTCGCACTATATTGGTGACTTTGTGTTAGTGATTACTCAGTTATCCCTTTATTATTCCACTATTCTAAGGGTGTCACTCGCCATTTTTTTCTTAAAGAATGTACCTTACCGACAACTCTAGAGATGGGTAAAGTAAACAATAACTAACTAACTGCATTTTCCTGCGTATCAAATCATTGCAGAAAATGCTGGAAATAGCATTTCCGAGACCCTAAATTAGAAAATTTTCTGGGGGAGCATTCCTCCTGACTCCCCTAGGCTGGGCCGCCTTCGGTGCTGCAAATCTTCATCACCGCGCGTTGTACACCTTCAAGATCTCAGGCTAAGCCCCTGAGGCAACGCACACTAGTATGAGTAGTCTATAAGGATAGTTAGATGGTGATGTACGACTAGAGGCGTTAGTTTTTATATGATATGCAGCTAATGCAACCCAGATTGAATCCAGGGATCAAAAATTTTTCATCGGGTCAGGGATCAAGATTTGCAGCAATTTTGGGATCAGGGATCAAAATTTAAGGTCGAAATGTGGGATCAGGTGGGAGAAAATATACCTCGTTACGACCCTGAGATGTAATCAACCTTGCACACTTTGCGTAAATAACACAAAACTCAAAATAGTTCAAAATATTGGTTGTTTTTGCGTACTTTAACAAGTGTCAACCCTAACCCTAACAACCCTAAAACAGTATTCTTTAAAAAAAGTTACACCCTGGCGCCGGCCCCGACCCCGATGCTTTGCAAGCTAATTTATTTACGTATTTTACATGTATTTCTCTCATATCGACCACTTTTCGTAAGCGACCACCTCCCGTAAGAGGCCACTTTTTAAACTATATCTCCTGGCCGATCCTGTTTCATAAAAGATGTCTTTTTTTAATAGAGACTGAACAATGTTTTGAACTGTCTTTGTAGAAGCTCACCATGCTTATCTAGTCTTTTCTCCATAATCGGTATGTGTACGGGATATTTAAGAAAACTGTCTTCATCTTTGAACAGAATCGAAACTGATCGCATGAATAACTAACTTAAAGATCGTTATTTAAAACCTTAAATTATTATATATATCTCTTTCCAGAGAAAATCAAGCAACAACAACAACAACATAAGCTTTATTTGCATGACTATAATTATGTAGTTACACGAGTATTTCAAAAGCTTTAACATAAAAAAACAAACAAACAAATAAACAAACAAATCATAACAATGATAATGCAATGCAATAATTACTATAGTCAATCAAGTGTCATCAGCATGATTTGATAACAAATTATTCCGTAAATCATTACATAATGAGACAAATTTCAACAAATGTGAATTTACGGAAAAATTCTGTGAATTCATCAATTTAATTATTAATTCTGTGTAAGATAGCTGATTCAAGTCGACAAAATTTTGTTGGATTTGATTGTAGAATTTCTCCCTTGGGATTGAGTATTTTGGACAATGAAAGAGAAAATGAAATTTGTCTTCAATTATACCAGAGTTACAAATAGGGCAGAATCTATCGTTGCGGGAAGTTTGATTATAGAAAGCCAGTAGACTATGGCATGTGGCGGAAGCCGTTAATATAAGGTCTGTTCGATAGGGTTCTTCAAGGTCAATACCTCCCAAGTTTGAGCATAAACTACGTCACCATGAGCAAAGATTTGTAAAAATTACCACCACAGCTGTTTTAGATAAAGATGAAAATTTTTTGGAGTTGTCATAGCAGCGAAATGACGCCATTACCTATTGTACTTACGGCCGCATTTCTCGGCACTGGGAGCCATTGTTTTGGAGACAATACCCTTGAATAATGACAGGCTTTCGGATAAATTCGACTTGAATACGCCATGTGTGGACGTGCCCTAAACGAGCGCAATTAATAAGCAAAACAACAGCTCTTCACGTGCATCACACGTGTCTGTTAATTTCTTTGCCGTCCCTACTGACCCTACGTCGTAGATTGACCAAATTTTAATTTTTCTTGAAGCTTTTTGAGAACGTAAACGGCGATAAATTGTGCTTGTGTTCGGACGAGGTTCAAGATGACCTCGTCCGAGCTCAGCTTTCTTCAGGTAATTTCCCAACTTTTAGAAGACTCAATGAGTTGTAATAAAAGCGAAAAAAATTGAAAGTTCGCGAAGTCAGTTTTTCAAGCTATGTTGAGACTATTATACGCTTTTCGTGCCATGTTACTAAAACTGATAAGTAAATCTGGGGCAAACATGGTAAATGTCACATTTGCCTACTTAGGGCCTGTTTACATGGAGGTGGGGACTCCAGATAGGTGAGGTAACATGCGGCGGGTCACCCCACCTTTCATGTAAACGTGATCAAATTAAAATGAGAGATTATATGGACAGGCGGGTTAATCCACCTAAGCGGGCTACCTCACCTTCCAGGGATCCCTCACATCCATGTAAACAGGCCCTTATTTACATCCTTATCATCTTTGCCATAGATTTACTCCTTAGCATTTACATATTAGGTTCCAAGCGCGTGTGATCGAGACCTGACTCTCTTGCAAGAGTTCAATAAACTCTCAGCACGTGTTTTATCGAGTCTAAAATCACTCTCCTTCGGCTCGTGATTTTAAACCCGATAAAACACTGCTGCTCGTTTATTAAACATAACGTAATTACAAAGGACCCGTTCTTGTTCAGTGAGATGCAGTTGGTAGTTGGCCGGCGCTGTGCCACCAAATTTAAATATAAAAATAACCACTCAACTTTGATAATGTACAGATAAAGAGTACAAAAGGCTAGGCACGAATCAACAAGTTAGCAAACGCTATTAGAACCTGTTACACCTCGCTGCATTATTCCAAGGAAATTCTTGTCAAGTCTCAAACTGGAATCGGCTGACATGTTACACCAAATTCGCTGGCAACCTTTTCGGCAATTTCTAGAGTGCTCCATTCTAGCTTACGGCCTTGTTTTATCTCACGCCCGACTTGGTTATAATGATGTTCTAAAACTTGCAAACAAGTTTGGGTGATGTTACCCTTGCATGGGTGATTTCTATTACCCATCTGAAGATCGTGGACAAAAAAAATTAAATTATCACTTGGCAAAAAGGTACGATTAGAGCATATATCCAAATTATTTCCTGCTGCTTTGTGAGATAAACAGTAACTAGCTAGGGTATTTTTGCTGAATCCAGGACCAGCCCAACCATGATAACCTGTCTGAGGCTCGGTAAGAACATCTTGTACATGTTCTGGCGCAATGGTTTGGCCAGTTGGAAACCTCTTGTTATATTCTGCTAGGTCGTTGCAGATTTTAAAATTCCAGTCGTAACGATCTCTCTCAAAGTAAAATGCATAACTGAGTATAACGCTGACTGGCGAGATAAAGCCCTTGTAAAACATTCTGAAGGCCTCTTCAAAATTATTTGTGTTTAAGTGTTTCAGGATATGCTCTCTGCAATGAGTGACAGTGTCCCGGTACATATAAACCGGAAAATAAGTCATAAAATCAGCTACAAATGGTACTCCTAGTGCCAGTTGTGAAGTATGTGCCCAGGAATGTACCCAGCCCCTACCAGGGTCTTGTAATGTACAGCCTGTGCCTAAGACTCGTACCTTTGTCCCATTAAAAATTGTGGATTTTGTTACTGGGGTAAAAAAGGCTGAGTCACTGTCCATCCACGCAATGACGGTGTCATTTGAAAGCAAGTCGATGAAGAAACTGCTCCAAAGCTGTCTGTTGTAACCGGCTGGTTTAGGCGAGCCTTGAAACGCCAGCGTGTCTTGTTTTTTTGGAAGAGGCTCATAAAAGAATTCAAGTTTACGATCAGGAAAGTATTTATGAGCTTGGGTTTTTAACTTTTCGGCAAATTCATGATCCTCTTGTGATTCCTCATCAAGTGCTATGACAAAATTTCCAAACGAAGGAGGCCAGAATAGAACGGCAGTCCTGAACACGTTACACAAATAACGTTCCCTGTGATCTGGTCGTTTGCCAGACATTCTCACAAACAGACTTATTGAGGTGTCTGGGGTCTCTTTTGTTGTCGTTGGGGTCTCCACCGTTGTCATCCCTTCGCTTGCCACGGGTCTTTCGCGGGTGCTTTGGCTGTGGTAGAGAAATGGAGGTATTGGGATCATATGTGTTTTGAGAATCATCATAACCGAGAGGGAAATAAGGAGGCAGGCGAGAACTAATGCTCTAGTCCTTTTCAAAACCATGGTCTAGGCAGTTGTAGAGATTTCTTGGTATGGATACTGTATCCTACAAAAGAGAATAGAAAACAGATTAAACTTGTGAGTCTAACGCCTCACACCCGGTGAGTGCTGTCACGTTGAGCGTCACGTCTTTAATATTGTGTCCTCTCGTATCTTAATTTACGTTGAGAAATAGTGGCTACTGATGGTAGCTGGTGCGATGCCACACTTCAGTCCAGTATCATGTACTTTATTAAATGTATCTGCCTGAATATTTTTTGGGAGCTTCTGCTTGACAAACAACTGACTCTATTTCACTCAAAAAGAACGAATTCTTTTTGCATTTATGCCTCATTGAACAGGATCGAGCAGCATACAACGACCAAATGTTTCACAATATCACAATATGCATGTTCTCTATGCATTATTAAATGCCTTTTGGTTATTGAAATTTTTTAGCCGCCCCGAAAGATGTTCATCTTTTAGGATGTCTTGGGGGGAACTACGAATATCTCAAAAGAGTTTTCGTCTCATCCAAAACTGTTACCTACCCGAACGAAAGTTCGAGGACATTTAGTCGCCATGATTCTAGTGAACTTTTGTTGTTTATACCGAATTTTTAAGGAGACTTTTCTTAAAAAATAATCGCAATAACTTAGTAATAAAATGTGAAAAATCCGAATATTTTAAACGAAGAAAACTGTTATCCAGACATTTTTAGCCTCTTTCGAGCTTTAGAAACTAAGCAATATTTGTAACTTCGAACATGCAGTTGTTATTGTGTCGCTGATCGAACAAGATGTTGAGTTCAATCGGCTTTAATACGCAGGCACGAATTGTACAGGTTAGGTGTTGTCGAAATTTATTCTCACTTCTATCTTCGACACTGCTTGTGATTATTCATCATAGGTGTAGCTAGGGTTTCATGATAGAAATACGCATCTGTCAACAATATGGTATCAATTCCTTTAGTTACTCAGCAGCAACATCTTGGAATTCTCTTCCTGACCATTACCGCACTATTTCTGATTTTACTTCTTTTTGACGACTGATATCTACTGGGAACAATAATTTACTTAAAAGGGCAGGAACTGCAAACCTTTCTACATCATGATAATTTGCAAGTTAGTTGTCTAGGTAGTTAGTCATCTTATTTGTTATATAGAATTAACTTTTTATTATAATTATTTATTAATGTAGTTGGCTCGAAGATATTAGCACTTCATTGCTACACTGTAAATTCGAGGGTAAATAAAGTTTATTGATTGATAGAAGAACGAGTACAAAGTAAAAACCTAAGAAATCGCACGATTAATGAGGACGCTTTTGACAGACCTGCTTCTTCGTGATATATATATATATATATATTATAAAAAAATATCCCTTGTTTTGCACGGGGCTCTTTAAAAGATGTCGGACCTTGATTAAGTATTTGAAGAAACTCTTACCTACAACTTGTTTGCCGATGTTAAAACCACACATCCAAATTAAAATGAAGTAACCAGACGAGTCTTTCTGAATCACTCCTTTGTCACATTCACTATTTTCGCATCTTCTTTATGCCCGAAAATTTTGCATAACCATTGTCCTCGATTTCTCTTGGGAGGAGTGTAATAGCCAGAAAACAATATGGTTATGCAAAACTTTTGATGACGCATTACTGAAGGCGCGGCATTGTCAAGGGAACAATCATGAGCAACCACGCGAAACTCTTATGCGACACGCCGGTCCAACAACTAATGTGTTTATGTTCGGAATTTGCATTTATGGCCGCAGTTTGATCCTCTAGGGATTTTACGTCACATCTCGGTATTTAAGCCTTGTCGCCTCTCGCGTTAGTCACTCGACACAGCCAGTTTTACCGCTCGCACCTTGCCGAGCTTAATTTTCTAGTATGCTGTTTACGTTTAGTCTCGTAGTTTACAGTGATGTAATTCGTTTTTCTCCGCCACTACTTTATTTCCTGTACGTTAGCTTTTTCTCGTCCCCAATAAACACAACTGGTCGTGTCCTCGACACAACTGGTCGTGTCATGGCTTCCTATTTCAACGTGTTGTTGCCTTTCTGCTGATTAGAACTTAAACGTTTTCTCTGCGGCGGAACGCAGTGACATAGCAGAGAAAGGGGGTTATAGAGGGTGAATTTGAGCAAATTATCACGAAAATTCGTTTGAGCATTAAGGAAAACAACAACTAATTGTAGAGAAAGTTTCATTGACCTTTATTTAGTATTTCCTACAACTATAATCTTGTCGCGCGCGAAGCGCGCGTAGTCTGCTAACCGCGCGTGGTCTTAGCCAGCTGCCAAATTCGAGGCGCAATAAATAAATCTTTCTCTGAATATACCGTAAAATTCCGAAAATAAGCCCCTCCAAATATAAGCCTCCCAAAGCGGTAACGTAAAAAACCCTCCGTTAAATCGCCCCTCCAAATATAAGCCCCTCGGGGGCTTTTACTTGGAAAATTGCCCTCAAATACAAAGTATAACAAAGCAAAAACGGTAAATTTACTTCCAACTATATGGCTAGCCCAATCGATTTTGAAACGCGTATTTCCCTCCGTAGATAAGCCCCTCCGAATATAAGCCCCTCCAAAAATAAGCCCCCAAAAAGGGCCTTTGAAAAATATAAGCCCCGGGGCTTATTTTCGGAATTTTACGGTATGCTTGGTAGGCGCCAGTGACGTCATGGAGCATTTTGCGTTTCCAGGCAACATAGACTTCGCCGCCGATTACCAAGGCACGTGAAACGTCCTCGGAGACCCAGGGGCAGTTAGTCGGGTCGATAAAATGTTCGTGGTGAAAGTTTACTGTAAGATCGAGACGAGCCCCTGGGCACTTACTCTTACCGAACCAGTTCCAGAAGCGTTTGAATTGCCTGCTTCTGATTGGCCAGAAAAAACTTTTTCTGGCCTATCAGCGAAGAGAAGCTGCCGGGTGACTCTCGTGTTTTCTTACACGACGTAATTTTCCTCATCGATCGCCATAGTTGCGTAGCCCGTTCAACGGGGAAAGTTTCTCGACGAAAGGTTCAGAACAAAGTGTTAACAACCCGCAAAATTGCAACCTTTAGCACGGCTACAAGAAACAAACACTCTCCGATGAATTCTTAGTGCGTATCTTTCCAAGGTATCGTAAATTTTTATTGCTGATACGATACGCGATGCATGACTTTCACTTTCCACACCTTAATTTGCTCACATTGTCTAGTATACAACGCCAAGCTTACATTTTAGATGTCCATGTTCGTTGCACGTCTTCTGAAACTTTCTACAGCGCGAAAATTTCCGCTGCACGGGCCACGCGATTACGTCGATTGATCGTGGGAAATGCCGGCTAGCTGCAGTGCCTTCTTCTTGCTTTGGCTCCAAACTCCTTTCGAAACTTTTAAGCTTAAAAGCTTATAGTAGTTGACCGTACGAATGCTGCCGAAGTTGATAGTAGTGTTAACTTTAGATTCGAGGGAGACCTCCAGCAAGCGCTTGAAGAATTAGAAGGCTTGTCTTTGTTTCCTGTGGTACAGTTCAAAGCGAAGCAAAGATTTATTATTGAGAAGACCGTGGAAAGAAGAGATGTTTTTGGGCAACTGATAGAATAGTCTAACCTTCCAAATGTTGCCTATAAGCTAGGGGGCTTAAAATCGTTAGATGTTAAAGGTTATGAATTCCCTAGTAATCCACTGGTCATAGTGATTTCACCTCTCATGTCAATTGTTGAGGACCAGGTAAAGTACTCGAGGTCACTAGGAATTCAGGCCGCTTTCTTAGGGGAAAGCAAAACAAATGAGCGAGAAATATTGAATGGATAGCAAGCATTTTCTTTGTTGTACGGAAGCCCGGAATCATTAACTGGAGAACAAGAAATTCAGGGCAATGTTCTTTAAGAAGTTTTACCGGAAGAATTCCGTTGCAGGTACATACAGCTGTTCATTGGTAAGTATGCTGATTTGTTTACTAGGAAGGGTGCTACACTGAATTCATTGTTGGGAGTTCTGAAGGGGTAAAATGGGATGTTGTTGCTCTGGGAAAATGGGATTTAAGTCACTAGCAGGAGGATAATTCTATCACTGAGAAAGGGAAAAAATGGGAATTGAGGGTTAAACAGTTTTAATGGGATTGATATCCCCCCTTCAGGTCCCTCATTATACTTAACAGTAGATGTGGCTTTTATTCAAGGATGCTCAGTAATCTTATGTCTAAAAGCTGACAGACACTTCACAAGAATTATCATGTTTTTTTGTCACCATTTATTGACAATTGAAAGCTGATGAAGTAATCCTTGTGACTGCTTAAGATAATAGTGCAATTGAACATTTACATATTATAAATGGAAAAACACCCCATAATACAGAACTACAGATGCCATTGCATGAATTTTATTTTTAAGCTGTTGAGATATTTTTTTTTTTACTTTTTTATTGGAGTTCACATGTCTACTTATAATACCACTTGAGTTATGTATATACTAGGGAGCTGTAATATTTTATTTTATTTTAATTTGTTAATAAACATTTATGCTGGGGTATTTGTTGGTGATTCTTTCTGTCCCAAAGGGTTTGTTTTACTAGATGGCCAACAAGTATGCTTGAGTATATTATTTGAAAGCTGTGTAGAAAAATGGGGTGTGCATTATATTTGGGTGCACATTATACACAAGGAAATATGGTATACCTACACATAACATACAAAAACTGTTTTCCAACACTCTCTGGAAAAAGGGGAACTGTGCTGAAATTGTCTCTTACTGTTTTCGATAATTCTAAAAGTCTTTCTTCTTTTAGCTTTTATTAAGCGTACAACATGCAGAAGAGAAAAAACTTCCTTTTTTGATGACAGTAATGAAAAGAGCAGAATCATTCCAAGCCACTTATGTTGCGACATCAGTGCCAAAGACTGTTAGTCTGCTTAAAGAAAATCAAGATGATCTGTGACAGGAATTTCAAGAATCAAATCTTCACTGCTTATATTCTAGAATTTGTATTCTTTGATTGTCTTCTACAGGAAACAATAATTGATAATTGTAATAAATTATGTTTTGTGGAAAGTAGTTTAGAGACACTGTGTGGAATGG